ATAGAGGCGGCAGCCAGAATAGTTTGAGGATTATCCCGGGGTGTTGACCCGGGAAAAATACTCTTACACATTTAATATTCGAATTTGTCAATTTCAAATTTTTAATTGGTAATTGGGAATTTTTAAGTTTGCAAATCCAAATGTAGAATCAATATTGTTTCAATTTCAAATTGGAAAGGTAGAATTCGGAATTGAAAGTTGTCAACATAAAAATGAAAATCAGATGATTAAAATTATCACCACGGTTTTGTTAATTTCAAAATTGACGAACAAATGTTTTTGATATACCCGCCGGGAAAAATTCCCTAGGACATCACTACACCCGACCGAGTCGGTAATTCAACTCGGCCGCCATCTAGCGGCATTTCTCGAACGGGCCTTCCCTACCACTCATCGCATCAAAATCTAATTTTCCTAATTAATAAAAAATAACCGATTAATCGATGTCAATTACGACGAATAGGTCACCTTTTACCCTAGTATTAATTTGTTTATCATCTATTTATCATTACTGGCCTTATTATCCCGTCAAAACCACATCCATATACATCCATGCACATCCATGCAGTAGCATGGTTCTCAAGTCGCTAGGGCACCTACAACCTCCACTTCTCCTTAGCTGGATCTCAAAGCGCCCCGGCTATCCCCTTTCGATTTCCTGGTTGACAAGTACTTCTCAACACTGTTGGGATTGAGAGCTGAATAGCTGCCCGCATCACTGAGTTGCTCTTTGATTTTCTTCTCGGAATTACATTAACAAGATGGATCTCTAGTTGTACCTCTCTTTCGTCCTCCAACTAGCCTGGCGGCTAGAATGTCTTAAATGAGCTGGATGTTTTGTGCGGAACGACCTTGTCGGACGGGTTCTTAGTGGAGAAAATATTGTATTATGTATAACAAAACTGATACCACATTGCAGTAAAAGAAAACGGTTTTTATTTGGTGACGTATGTATAGCTTCCCGGAGTTTTGCATTTTATTCTTTCCAGTTCAATTTCCTGCAGGGGATATGTGAATATTTTTCGTAACAACCGGTGTAGATTTCGGAGCCCAGCCCTTTGCTTACAAATGCAAAATACAGACAATATTGATAAATTCGCGAAACATTGTGTTTGTTCGAAATATGCACATCAATTAATGAAATCAGCAACATGATGAGCAATAGTTTGATTATATTTACTCTGAATATTTTATATGAACGTGCTTGCATCAGGGAGAGTACCAGGGAATTAGTCGAGAAAAATACTCGCTATTGACTAGAACTCAAAATTCACTTCATTCAATAATATGATTCTCACCTAGGGAAGTATCGTATATTGTGTACCAAGGGAGAAAAACAGGACATTCTAACCCGTGTGGGTATTGCCGATCTGAGGCAACGTAGAGGATGGTAAACAAGTGGGTTTGAGTGTCCTGTTCCCCTTTCTCGGTGTACACTGTTCTCTCCCTAATCACTAAGAACGGAAAAGCGTCATTTTTCTACATAAATGACGAGAGAAATGTAGCTTATGTCATTCCGAATATCCCCCAACTCAATATAAATCTGAGGAATAGAATAGGCCACTTTCTTTCGAGGAAGGTTCAATTAAATTTTCGGCTCGTCTGAATTATTTCAACGAAATCTAATCAATTCCAAGTGGCCAATTCATCTCACTTTTCAAGGTCCGTCTTTGAAGAAGCAACTTCTCAGGACCACTGTTTATTGCAATGACTGACCCTTAGTCTGAGTAGACAGCTGGGCTCTTCTCGCTAGGTCAAGTCGTCTGTAATAATTCAGCTGAATCCGGCCCAGTGTCGGCGCCGGAAGACTCTACAAGTCCTTTCCTGCCTGTTGTTCAGTTGAACCTCCAAGGCGAGGTCAATGCTGCAGAACCAGCGCTTATTATCGAGACTGGCTTCATTCCGAGTGTCCAGCTCGGGGCTTTCTCGTCACACCAGCGCAGACCTGGTAAATAGCTCAGCATACAACTCAGTTCAGCCCCTGTGTTCAGCTCAACGAATTTTCTCGTCAAACCAGCGCAGACCTGGTAAATCGCTCAGCGTACAACTCAGTCCATCCCAAGAGTTCAGCTCGGGGATTTTCTACACTAAGCCGTGCCGAGCTGGTGAATCGCTCAGCGTACAACTGAATTGATCCCGAGTATGCAGCTTAGGAATTTTTCTACGCCTAGCAATACAAAATCAGCGACTAACCAAGGCCTGTTAGCACTAGCAACACCTCCAGAGTCATCAACACATCATCTGTAACGATGCTAGCGAAGCGTGTTTGCGCGTTTTCAATACCATCAATGCTAGAGGAGCTAGCATATTTTTGGAGTTCTCCCAAATCCACTATGAAGAGGAAACACCTAGAGATCGCCCCCTCCCTTCCACCGTTTATTTCTACCAATGTAAGTCAGAAAAACACACTAATAATATTTACACTATTCTTTCCTGCACCTCTTTCAAGATTACCCTTGGTTTTTATCTTGGACTTTTACTTTTGTGTATTTCAAGTGAAGTGTGATAAACTTAAAAATCTACTTAAAGGAAAACTTAAAGGTATATTTCTCTTTGTGTGCTATTTCAATACTTATACTTAGTCCCACTTAATAGGCCCCATTAAGTGAAATTTATAAGATCTTCTCTCTTCCGGACACTACTTGTCGTGAGTAGTTCCGCTAAACTCACCTCAGGCGTTCACCTTTTATTCGATATTTCGACCTACCTATAGTGACCAAGTGTCCGCGTACAGTATTATCGCCCGAGTTGAAGGCGGGGTCGGTAAGCACCTGCGTAAGACTCCGATTTTACTTGCCGTGGTGAAAACATCATTTTGCATAGAAGCTACGTGAGAATTATGCAATTATAATACATAAATAGCGTGGAAATACACGTGACGTTGATAAGTAAATAGGTCTAAGGATCAAATCTTATTTGTAGTTAATCTGTTCCTCACGCGGAATAAAACTACTTCATTTATATATTCATTGTTCACATTTTTGTAGTTTTCACGTTAGAAGGGACTGTGAGAGTTTGTGTTATATATATTCACTGGTTTATTTTTCATGTACATCCAATTGGGGATGACCAACATACCACTGTGTATCGTTTAAGGTTTAAAGAAATGAGTGAAAATCATAATTATTGTCATCGTTATGGAAGATAATCACGTTCCTTCTTTTAGGCATTCAATTTATACGTCGCTCTCCTGGAAACTTAATGGGTTAATGGGGTTCATTTCCAAAAATGACATATTCTATTCTTTGAAATTTCCAAACAAATGTTGTGCTCACTCACATAATTGGGGAGGAATTGAAATAATAAAGAATCATATACTTTGTTTATTCACTTCAGTAACATTTTTAAAAATTATTCTAAATATGTCATAGTAGAATTTTTCAAAAATATGCAAAAAATTGACAGCTTTAACGATCGTGCAATGCTCAATCACATAATCGAAGTAATACACTTTTAGAAACCGAATTGATGAATTTTTTCTTTTACTGCTCTCGTGGAAGAAAATGAGTAAAAAAAAAATGATGAAAAACAATCGATCCTTATTATTATGATGAGCATGGGACGATGCAACTACCAATTTTGTCAATCGCAACTCTACTTATACATGCCGGTTCACGATTCATCTGTAAAATCCATTAATATTTAATAAAATAAGAAATTAATGAAAGAAAATGGTAAAAGTAGTAGTAATTATCGATATATAGGTTAAGTGTAAACGTCCAAGCATCGCTGGTCTTGATACGGGTTACAATTCGCTATTACACATGTTGTGCGACCTCTTTCATTGGGCTAAAAACCCATCTTAATTCCATCTATTTGCTAGATATATTTATAAATTGGTGTATAAATGGATTCGGAGAAATGCCTGCTTTTTCAGCATTCTACTGCTCATTGCAACCCAATCAAAAGTAGCAAGTTTAGAAATGAAAAATCAGTCAAATATTTTGTAAGATGTACTTAAATAATCTCAAGTTAATGATTCTAGTACTCTCTAATGTTCGTTAATTCTCCTTTGTTAATCATCACTGCAATGTCCGTGTGAAGTCTGCGTTAGCTTTTCTTTCTGGCATTTAGAATTCATCCTCGTTGGTATTATCCATGTCTGCCCACTTTGTTGTGATTGGCATAACGATCGAGATTTTCAGGGCATCATTTTACCTGGAGAGAGCCATTTTCTCGTGTAGTAACAGAAGACTGTAGAAACGTAAAGAAGAACCAAAAGAGCACAAGTGATACCCAGGGTGAGAATGGATGCTTTGGATGGACACGGTTCAACGATGGTCACCGTTTCGGCTGAAAAATATTAAACATGAATTACTAACAATTCTAAGCCGTCATAATTTCTACAATAATTGATTCATCAATAAATCAGCAAAATCCTTCCGAATATATGGAACTTATTCATGGAGTCCAAATAATTAATTTGGTTAGCATTCATCCATTTCTTTTTTAAATTTACTGCAAATAACATTTGAAAATTTTGCAATTTAATCGTCAAATTACTCGTACCAGAGGGGAAATTTCGTTCAGGACCAGATCAGGATTTGATCGGGTCAGCCCTGATGATCGATCAGGATCTGACATGGTAACTGGATCAAGTCCTGATAAGTCATGTAACGTCTTTTTTCATCAAGACTTGATCAGGTCAACCAGTTCAGGATTTGATCAAGTCAATCTTATTTAAAGTGGATGATGCGAATAAACAATAATTATTCGCCGAAAACAAAAAATAATGCAATTTTATCACTATAGTTCATCTACTTTAATGCACCCCTTCCATTATTAATGATGAAAACCACTTATTATTTTTCCGATGCTGGGCGTCGAACCGACGATGTTCCGATTAGTAGTCCTATGCCCGGTCCACTGGGTTTTTTTTTTTTCAACCAAGTTTTTATCCAGAGTACAACAGATACTATTTACAATATTTACAAACCTTAAAAACTTGTATCGAAAAATGGTTTCTCTTATATTATTTCAAAAAGTAGATAAACTTAGGCCTTTATAGACTCTCTAGTTTATCTAACAACGGTAAAAAAAAATCAAAAACAGGGTATATCTGTTGGTGAGATTTATACATTATATACTGTATTTTGCAAGTTGATGTCCGATAAAGTGCTTAAAAAAAAAGAATATATAATGCTTGCTTAAATATAAAAAAAAAGAACAACAGTATTTGCAATTTATTTGGGAATCAAAGAGTGTGATTTTTTTAATCAATATGAAAGAGGGGGAGGAAGAAAAGAAAAAATCATTCATTGTGAATACAAGCCTTGTGATTCACTTTGATATTTATGAATCATTGATCATGAGTCATTGATGCGTGATGTGAAATATTTCTATTGTATAAATACAGTATCAAAATTTCTTTATTATTATTTTATTAAAAAATTTTAAGGACGACGATAATTGTGTCGGAGATATCGACTTCGACGTCTATCTTTATTTTCATTTTTATTTAATTGTTTGAATGATTCTTCGCGAATTTTCAATTCTCTCATCCGGTCCACTAGGTTACTCTGATCTTATGATCAATTCAACTTCATTTTGCCTATATGATCTCTATCGGGGCATTCGTTAACTTTGCAATTATTCGCAGATGTTCGAATTAAAATTAAGAAATTTTTTTCGGTTAGAATTCAATTTCTTTGATGAACAATGATTTAAATAACGATAAATAACTAATAATGATTTTAATAATATAATACTAGTGAACAAATCGAAGTTAGAGGACCACTTTCCTCTTGAAAATAATTTACTTGTAAGTTAAATAAGTCTATACATATTTTCGGTTTTCTACCGAATCCATTTCGCACACTCACATGCACTCAACACACATGCCCCACTCAGCTGTTTCGCTCACTCACCTCAGATGATCAGTGCTCTCTCACCTCTGTCACTTGAGGCGCCACTTGATGGACAGGTGTAATTGACCATCGCGATGATCGACACCTCCCACCATGAGGCTTATCGCTCTTTCTCATTTGCATATCGACCGTGAGAGTGTTTACCCGCTTTTCTCAGTACTTCTCGTTTGTTAAATTCATTGATCCGCTCATCTATTAATTCTTCTCAGAATTAAGTCAATAATTCATTGAATTATACTTCATTATAGCTCAGCTCTGTTTAGTGATATAATAACGTGGTAACAGTGACTTTTATTGTTAGTTAAATTGACTTTCGCGACGATACCCCGCGAGTGATTATTTGATCCTCTCACGCATCATCCCATGAGAACAACATATTTGCACAAAAAACTGGAATAAAGTATATTGTATATTTTATTCATAATGGTATCACTTCTTCCTCCCCATATATTTAACGTAGTCTGTCATTTTCGAGAACCGGACGACTGGACCCAAACTTGATCAGGTTTTCGTCAGGAATCATCTGACCGGACTAAGCTCAGACCGATTGAATGAGAACCTGATCTGGTTCTGCATGGACTATTTCTCTTCCAAGGAACTAGATCAAAACATGATGAGTTTCTCGTCAAGAATGACCTGATGAAACTAAGATCAAGCTGATAAAGTAAAAACCTGATCCTAATTTACCTTAGATAATTCGGATCAGAATAACTTGATCAAAACTTGGTCAGTTTTTCATCATGCCTTGTCTGATCAGATTAACATCATGCTGACCAGATCAAAACCTGATCCTAATCCATCTTAGGTAATTCGAATCAGAGTGACTTGATCAAAACTTGATCAGTTTTCATCAGGCATTGCCTGATCAAGCAAACCTGACGAAGACTGTATCAAATATTGATCCCACTTCAGGGTAATTTGAGGTAATTTCCACTCGGATTAAGTACTCACATGAGGACGAGTGTGGTGAAGCAAGTGAACAGTGAACCGTCATCGGAAACTAAAAATGGACAACCTGTAAGCGACCGTCACACGTGGGGAAACGACGTAGATGGTGCAAAGCCTGTCGGGGTTCGCATGACACGAATCCAATAAATTGATAGAAAGAGAGAAAGTCGGAGCTTTGAACATGCTCATCGACCATGTCGCTCGACCGTCGACGGTTCATTAAGTACAGTCAGTAACCCATTTACACTCATCATCCACGTTCGCTAAATCGCCGACAATTCATTACGGTGATCTGTGGATAATTATCCAGAGGAACAAAATAGAATACCAATACTGGAGTGTTTTCCTTCACAGCAGAAAAACTTGAGGGGTATGTGTAGACAATTCTAATCGAGAATTTGCCAGGGAAATCAGAAAGGACCTATTGGAAGCAAATAAAGTCTCAGGTGGTTCGGACAATATGGCAAATCGACAAGGTGCACCAAGTAAGAGCGACAACAGAAAGAGGATCATTAACCCGTGGCCGCCTGTCCTTGAAGTAGAGGTTAAGACTCAGTACAGTCGCTGGCCCATATTGAAAAAAACAATGGGGGTTAGTAACAAAGGAAAAGTTTCCGGATTGAAGTCAGAGGACATCGAGGACCATCATTAAATAGCCGAAAAAGAATGGATCAATTTCTTGTCAAACCATGATGAAAAACTACTGGTCAAGAAACAACTCATTACAATCATAATCATCGTGTACTGCTAAAACCTCGGCAATCTTATCCAGCAACAGGCACTCATAAAAACGACTTGTCGAGGCACCACCCGGCCATTCAGAATCATTGTGGAAGCTTGCATTCTAAGCAGCTTGGCACCGAATATACCGCCATTTGGTTGTGTTCATATCAACTACGACAACTTTAACTGCTAAGATCATCCCCCAAACAAAAACTGCCTTTACTGACCTCATCATCGGAATTGACAGCTACGGAAAAATTGTAAGAGAAAAAATCATCAGTTTCAAGGAAATGACACTCAGCAGTCAGCTAACAAACTAAGGTTTGGCTGGGTTCTAGCAGACCCAGTCTTCTGCTGCACAGACTTTTACCCTGAAACATCATTGAAAGTAAATTCACAGACGATCAATCGATAACTACTACAACTTCTGAACAAATTGTGGATCCAGGACGAATGATCGCATACGTGATCATTATCATGAGTCATAAGATCATCTCCACATGACGGTCATCAGTTCCAGGTAATGATAATTTCTGCGCGAAATTCATGGTATTGCTTCGACTTATTACGGTGTTGTAATATTTTTCTCCGACACCTTCTCTCCTACTCGTACTTTGCTTGCCGTTTCTACATAAATTTCTTTCACCCCTTCTATCAGTTCCTTCGATATTCCCCTTCTCGCCATCACTTCCCACATTACCCCTCTATTCACCCGGTCGAACGCCGCCTTCAGTTCAACGAAAAACCCGACTAGTTTCCCTCTCTCCTTTACCAACTGTTCATTTACCAAATAATTCAGCACATAGATGTTATCTATAATCCCCATTCCTTGCCTAAATCCCGTCTGGTTATGCGATACCACTTTCTTTTTCCTAACCTCCTTCTCTCACCTCTTTGCTACCACCGCTGCATACACCTTATATAGTGTGTGCAGTAGCGTAAGCTGTCTGTAATCTTCTACCTTTCTTCCTTCCCCTTCCTTCACTATCGGCGCTAGTAAGCTCTCCTTCCATTCCTCCGGCCACCCCTCTCTCCTCCATACTCTATCACAGATCCTCTAAGCTACCTTCCTCATCCCCCTTCTTTCTAGATTTCATACTCAATTCCATCTTCTCCTGCTGCTTTTCTTCCTTTCAGTTTCCTTATAGCTTCCTCCACTTCTTCTTGTTCTAGTCCCTCTTCCTCGCATGCTGCGTTTTTTCTCCTGTCCTGCCCCCTGACCTTTCCTTCTACACCCCCTAACTGCCTCATAAAATACACCTTCCATTCTGTAATTTCTATATTCTCATTAATTCCTTTCCATATCCCTCTTTCTCTATTTATTACTTCCCATATCCTGCCTTCTTCTACCGCCCTTTCCACTTCCTTTTTGAACTTCTCAATTTCCTCCGCTCTCCTCACCTCGCATAGTTTGTTATATTGCCTTTTTCTTTCCTTAATATTCCTTACTCGCCTTCAGCGCCTTCGTCACTTCCCCCTGCATATATCTACACTCCTCGTCCCGCCCTTAACCACTCCCACCCTTTTCTCTTCCTCTTCATTTATTCCTCTATCTTTTCTTTAAACTACTTCATTCTTTGCCTTACCTCCTCCAGCATTTCATCTACCGCCCCTCCCTCCCTCCACTCCACCCCTTCTAGCCTTTTTCTAAGCTCCCCTTTTTTCTCCATATCCCACTTCGCGCCCTTTATCATTTTCACACCTGCTTTTCATCCTTCCTTTATCTTTTCTTTTTTCCTTTATCTTTTCTTCACC